GAGGTTAACGATCCCCACACTGGAGCAGCCGGCCTCATTGTCATTGGCAGCGCGCCAACCAGCTAGAGCCGCCAACAAGTGTCGTTTTGACATTGTTGTTCTGTTAGTCCGACACATGTTTGTCGTCGGCCTCGAGCTCCTCGAAGAGTCACTCCCGCTGTGCGTTGGTGATGTAGTCCTTGCGGCGGCTTCACACAGATGCGAGCATCGCCCTATTCTTGTTGTAGACGCCTAGGTTAACAAGGAGCTCCGCCACTGCAGTGGCATCCAAACGCTCCGCCTCAAGTTGAGCCACTGCCGCGGGTTGCTCATCCAAGAGCACAAGGTTGAACTGCTGCTCCACCTGCAGCATGGTGAAGCAGGGCGCCAGCGTAGTGTCGACGACCATCACCCCTCCTCTTCGGCCGCGGGGCTTGGTCATGAGATCGCCCTCCTGTTCATCCTCCATCTCCTCCTCCTTTGAACTCGACTCGGAGGGCTCGGATGTTGGCCCGCCTCAATGCAGGCCTGGCGTCGGGTGTCTAGGGCGCGGACCTCTGCCACGATTTTAGTGTCACTCCAACGTGAGCTGATTATACCACGTAGCCAAGGACCGCACCATGCCCGATGGCCGAAGATATGGAGTGGACTAGGGGCTCATACGGCTCTAAAGTTGCATGCGAATGGTGGGAGGATGGGCTCGGAGGTGTTATTGTGGGGGAGGCTGGCTGGCTTTAACTAGTCATGGCAGGGAGCGGTGAAGGTTCAATGCGGACAGCAAAGTCGATGCGGGTAAGCAGGTGGATGACCACACGATGCAAATGCTGACATGCTAATGGTTTAAGGCCGTTCGGAAGGGTTTTTTGAATGGGTCCGGGGGTGTCGGAGTCTGATGTGGCAGGCGTCCAAACTCCCCCAGAGCTCCCTCGATTTGGAGCCAGTTTATAGAATATCAGACATTCGGACCGATATCATCTGTTTTGGTGATCTGTACTAAAATTGTCCAAACGGACGGTGGGAATGATCCATGTTAGAGATGGCCTGCCTCGAGTTGACTCACTTCACTCACATACTTTGGCAACCTGGCATTAACACTCAAACTTGTTGGCCCCTAGAGTGAACCAGAAAGCTGCTCCGATCTTTTTTCGGTTCATACTTATCAAAAGACTGTATTTCTCTTCGTCAATATTATTTGTCACAGCTTTAGTACACTTTAAAATATTGTGGACTTCAATCGTCCCAAAATAAGTGTCTCAGGGTTAGTATAACTTTATACTAGAGTTAGTATAAAGACACTTATTTTAGAACGGAAGAATATTATATATCATCTCCTCTCCTGATCAAAACAGTCGGACCGATACGCCGCACATATTCTGGAAGTGGTGTTAGTGGAGTTGACTGGGATGGCATATGCTCGGGAGCCTGACGGAAACCGTTGATGGTTCCGTAGTGACACTGATGGTGCTACTGCCCTATGTTTGAGATTCTTTTCAGAACGTACCGGAAGAATACCAGTTTTATTCTGGTCTGGCGTGCTTTGACGGCTTGTTCCTCGCGCAGCCAAGAAGCAAGAAGCAACTCGTGCTCCTTCAGCGATGCCTCCGGTGGGCTGTCACCCCCGCCGCAAATATTCTGAATTTGTTATACCATAGATTTTACATTTAAATCTGGAACATAGTAGCAGAAAAAAAAAGATTGGGTCCATTTACAATGAAGAAAATGGGCCATATTCAAGCCCAGTCCGCATTTGTTTCTATTTGCGCCATGATTTGATTTGATTTTTTACTTTCCAGATAAGCATTTTGAATTTAGATCCAAAATTTTATATCAGACTAGATACGTATTTTACTTATATCATGTTGAAATTTCAGTCTTTCAATATTTCAAATGATATTTACGGTGATTGGGTGCACAAGTAGCATCAAATGCTCCGGTGCACCAGATACGCCCCATCCACACGGTATAGTGAGTCTCATAAAAAACACGGTACAATAAGCTCTAGTTGGCTTTCTGCCAGATCTTAATAGGCGACAAACACATGTTCATCAACAGTGCACACTTATAGGCACTAGGGCCACGTCGTAGCCCGTTTGACCGTAGCCCGTTTGACCATTTGACCTCATGATACAGGGCAAGCCATTGGAGTGGCCCGATCTTCACGAATTAGGGGTGTATTTGAGGTAGTACACGAGGAACAAGGAGCAACACTCAAGAGGAAACCACTCTCATAGACAAGATTCACACACAACTAGTCAAATCCCAATGCAAAAGGTGATACACTCCAAGATCCAAACGATAACAAAGTAAAAGTTAGCTAAGGTAGGCTCCTCTCCAAATTCAAGAGGAATTGGAGGTCTTGAGAGATGGGGTCTTGTATTCCTATAGGAATCTTCTCGTAAGAGGTCTTGTAATCCAACAGATTCTTCTCTTGCAAGGGATCTTGATCCGGAAGGAGGAGGTAGATTGAGCAAAGCTCTCCTAAGATTTAGTTTATATTTTGCTAACTCTAGATAGGAGGAGGAGTATGGTATATATAGTTTAGCCACGAAGAGATAGTTATGTCGGGAAAGGTAACAGGCATGTGACGCACCCTCTATCTGACTTACGGCTGATAGGGTATGAGGGCTCCGGGTAAGTCGGACAGGTGGTCTGATGTTTTGTCCGACGTATCGGAGGTTGTGTCGGATATTCCTGTCATACATTCCGACAGTTCCCAAAGAACAAACATGAAGTCGGATGTTGGATCAGACACTCTGTTAGAATGTTCGACTTTCCCACTGGTTGTTGGCTGACTTTGTCTGAGGTACTCCTTGCTTCTTGTTTCTCGCCTTACAAGTTTCTCTCGTGGATGGTGTCGGCCCTTCCTTGTGTGTGTTTGCCTCCATTGCATGTTCGTCATTCGACTCAAACCTAAAGGTGCAAAGGGTAGGTGTGTCAAGTAGTATACCATTTGTGTGAGAACCAAGTAGACACACATAAATGATATAATTATCCATAATACGTGATGAGTGTGTCCTTTGTCGATGGAGCCATGGCCATGGTGGTGACCCTAGGGTGCACCACCACCTCACTTGGCTAGATTTTTTTACAAGACACAACCCGACCCCATAGATCATTGTGGTAGTTCTTGGGGTTAAAGAAAGCACATGGCTTCAAAAATAGTATCATTTTTTTAGATAGCTAACCGCAAAAAGTATTATCATTCAACATGACGAAAACATTTATTGCAAATCATGTTCAGGTATCATAAATAAAAACATGGAAATAAATACATCAACATTCATTCTTACCTGAAGTATCGCCAATGTGACCAAAAAAAATTTAACATGGTGTTACATGAAAAAAAATGGATATAAGTACACATATTGATCATTATTTGAAAAAAATTACCACACACATAACTCAAAATTAAGGGCATGGACTTATTTTGAAAGAAAGATAGAGAAATAGGTTGTGAACAACAAATTGCATTCATGAATGCAGGTCGAATTGGTGTGGTAGTTAAGAAGGCGTAAATGTATATTTAAAAACTAATATTTGTCCACATCCATTGGATGAAATGTAGGTAAATTAGTGATTCCTAGACTTAGATCCAAATTATCATGTTCTTTCCAGTGACTAGGTTTCCTCCTCCCGTCGGTGCCACCACCAGTCTGCCCCACCTCCGATGGCCTATGGACCATAGCGGTGCAGAGGACCCCGCCCCCACCGGCGGAATGGATTGCACTATCATTTTTGTTAGGGGTCAACATATTTGGTTGGGGCTGTGTGGCGGCAGTGATATTCCTAAATAGAAATAATGTCTCCCGCGTTCGATCCCTGACCGAATGGTGTGTCTAGTGTCGTTAGAGGGTGTGTGGAGGTGTGTCGTTGTCGGATATCATGAGATTCAGTCGGTGCTGGTATTTGGTGGATTTGTTTAGATCTAGTATTCGTCCATTCATTCGTCTGCTTACATATTTGATCCTTCCGATCTAAGACTCGCTTCATCAGCGACGATTGCTGCTCTGATGCGCTGGACCTATAGGGCCTTAGCACGTTGACTTCCTAACTTTCTACTACAACAAGGTTTGCGCCACTCCAGTGTGGTAGGTGTCATGACGGTGGCGCGCTTCGGCTCACTCTAGTGCTTATAGTCGTCGCGAGATGATCCATGGACCTCTATAATTTTTGTTACCTCTAGCGTCTTTGTACTACCATGATTGATCACGAATCGACTAAAAGTTTCTTTCGCAAAAAAATTATCACAATATAATTTTGTTGAGTGAATTTCAGTTTTTCTTATGTCTACTTTGTTGTTTTTCATCCTACATTTAACAATTTTTTTCATCTTGAGTACCCCATTTAACAAAACTTGCATCAGTTTCCATCCCCTTGAAAATATTTTAGGCTACTACAGATAGCTCCTCTCGTGGTTCTTTTAGCGGACAAATTACACTATATAAAGAGTTAAAAAAGTTAGACCCATTACGAAACGGTGGCGATAAAAAAACACATACACGAACCGGTGTTTACTAAAACGGTCATAACTTTTTTATTCGGAATTCGTTTCGGACTCACAAGTATTCAAAATGCTCGCGCCGAGCGTGCGGATCCAGAAAATACTCCGTGCTTGCGCCAGGAGGCCCGGAATGCCTTCAAATTCGGCCTTAAGGAGAACTTTTTGGCCTTGAAAGTCAGATAACACTTTACCCGAAGGGAAAGTCAAATCCAAGACATACTGGGCGGAGAAAACCAGCATAGTTTTTGTCATGGAACGATGACGCGCGAGGTCGTGGACCTTTCCGTGGCAGGAGGAAGGATTCGCTTCGCGGAAACAGAATCTGGCATGCTCCGATGTCGGCTGAGCCCCAAACCCACCCATCCGGTCGCGCCGCTAAATATTCACACAAGCTCAACCCACTGATCAACAGCAGCTTAAGCAAGCGCAAACTGGTACTGCTAGCCCGTGTAGTTTGTTGAGAAGCAAGGTTGCATCCACACATCGGCTGACCACCGTGCTCACCGGCCACCAATCCGCCATGCCGTCGATTGCCAACGCTAGCGACAATGGCGAGTTGAAGCAGAGGCAGCCGGAGCAGGAGCTGGTCTGCGTCACGGGGGGCGGAGGCTTCATCGGCTCCTGGGTCGTGAAGGAGCTCCTCCTCCGTGGCTACCGCGTCAGGGGAACCGCCCGAGATCCTGGTAAGCAACAGTTAACACACCATCCATGATCTCGCCGAGTGTTGTGGTTTTTGACCAGCTTATCTAATGGCGCGCGCGTTTGCATTGGTTTGTGAAGCTGACCGCAAGAACGCGCACCTGCTGGCTCTGGAGGGCGCCGAGGAGAGGCTTACCTTTTTCCGCGCCGACGTCCTCGACTACGACGGCCTTCACGCCGCCTTCCGTGGCTGCGACGGCGTCTTTCACATCGCCTCGCATGTCTCCAACGACCCGTCAGTACAGACTTTGCTCTGGTCACTTCTTTTAGTTTCAGCAAGGGCCGGGTACTTACTTGTTACATGTGCTGTCGGTTTTTGCAGGACCTCGTGCCGGTCGCCGTTGAGGCAACCAGAAACGTGATCAGAGCTGCAGCGGACGCTGGCGTGCACCGTGTGGTGTTCACTTCGTCCTACGGCGCCGTGCACATGGACCCCAACCGCGGCCCGGACGCCGTGCTCGACGAGACGTGCTGGAGCGACTACGAGTACTGCAAAAACACAGGGGTAAGAAACTCCATCGCACCCGATCTTTCTCGCCGGTCGCTGAGCCCACTAACAGCCCTCGTGTGCACTGCAGAACCTGTACTGCTGCGCCAAGATGATGACGGAGATAACGGCGACGGAGGAGGCGGCCAAGAGGGGCCTAGAGCTGGCAGTGGTGGTGCCGTCTATGACCATGGGCCCCATGCTTCAGCAGGCGCTCAACTTCAGCAGCAGCCACGTCGCTCGCTACCTCACCGGCGCCAAACCCACCTACCCTAACGCCATCGCCGCCTACACCGACGTCCGTGACGTCGCCCGGGCCCATGTCCTTGTCTACGAGCACCCCGATGCACACGGCCGGTACCTCTGCATCGGCGCCGTGCTGTACCGTGCGCACTTCCTCCAGCTCCTCGGTGACCTCTTCCTGCAGTACCACATAACCGCCAAGTAAGTACGAGCGCAATATGATCGATCTTATTTGAATAAGTACGAGCGCAATATGATCGATCTTATTTGAATAAGTACGAGCGCAATACGATCGATCTTATTTGAACGTGCTTGATTCGATTTTGGGCGTTGCTTGCTTGCTCACCGTGGAATTTGTTGGCGCAGCAGTTGCGACGATGACGGCAAGCCCATGGCGAATCCGTACAAGTTCATTGTAACGTCCATGATGCGGCTATATGTTCCACGTGTCGAAGCAGCATGGCTTAGAAGCATAACCACATTGTAAGCAATGCCGTAAGTGGGGTAATCTTCGCACAACCCATGTAATAAATAAGGAAAAGAGGTACATAGTTGGCTTACACTCGCCACGTCACACAATAGCATAAATATCATTACATTCATCCAGATACAATCAAGGTCGGACTACGGAACCAAACTAAAGACAACTCCAAATGCATAATGACCCCGATCGCCTCAACTGCGCTTCACTACTGATCACCTGGAATAAAAACGTAGTATCGTCCTGAGTCCTCATCGAACTCCCACTTGAGCTCAGTCGAATCTCCTGGTGCGGTATCATCGGCCCCTGCATCTGGTTGTGGAAGTAAACTGTGAGTCACGGGGACTCAGCAATCTCACACCCTCGCGATCAAGACTATTTAAGCTTATAGGTAGAGAAAGGTATGAGGTGAAGCTGCAGCAAGCACTATCATATACGATGGCTAACATATGCAAATGAGAGCGAGAAGAGAAGGCAAGGCACGGTCGAGAAACTATGACCAAGAAGTGATCCTAGAACAACCTACGTTCAATCATAAACTTGAGCCGTGTTATCTTTCCGGACTCTGCCGAAAAGAGACCATCACGGTCACACACTCTGTTGATTCATTTTAATTAAGTTAAGATTCAGGTTTTCTACAACCGGACATTAACAAATTCCCATCTGCTCATAACCGCGGGCACGGCTTTCGAAAGTTCAAATCCCTGCAGGGGTGTCCCAACTTAGCCCATCACAAGCTCTCATGGTCAACGAAGGATATTCCTTCTCCCAAGACAACCCGATCAGACTCGGGATCCCGGTTACAAGACATCTAGACAATGGTAAAACTAAACCAGCAAAGCCACCCGAATGTGCCCCTGGTGGCCACCGGCGGCTGACAAGTTGGACCAACACTCAGAGGAGCACTGGCCCGGTGGTTTAAAATAAAGATGACCCTTGAATCCGCGGAACCCAAGGGAAAAGAGGCTAGGTGGCAAATGGTAAAACCAATGTTGGGCATTGTTGGAGGAGTTTTATTCAAGGCGAACTGTCAAGGGGTTCCCAATATAACTCAACCGTGTAAGGAACGCAAAATCAAGGAACATAACACCGGTATGACGAAAACTAGGGCGGCAAGAGTGGAACAAAACACCAGGCATAAGGTCGAGCCTTCCACCCTTAACCAAGTATATAGATGCATTAAAATAGATAAGATATAATAATGATATCCCAACAACAAGGAATAAACTCTAATCTTCACCTGCAACTAGCAACGCTATAAGAGGGGCTGAGCAAAGCGGTAACATAGCCAAACAACGGTTTGCTAGGACAAGGTGGGTTAGAGGCTTGACATGGCAATATGGGAGGCATGATAAGCAAGTGGTAGGTATCGTATCATAGGCATAGCAAAAGAGCGAGTATCTAGCAAGCAAAGATAGAAGTGATTTCGAGGGTATGGTCATCTTGCCTACAAAGTTCTCCGAGTTGACGTTACCTTGATCCTCGTAAGCGTACTCAACGGGCTCCTCGTTCACGTACTCGTCTCCCGGTTCTACCCAAAGCAAGAACACAAACAAAGGGAACCACAATCAACCACGTGCAATGCACAAGCAACATGATGCAAAACATGGCATGATATGCGGAATGTGAAATGCAATGCATATGCATGCTTCGAAAAGGAAAGATTGAACCTGACCTCAACCTGTAAAACCAAGAGTGCCACTAGAAAGATGAGTTGATTTCGGTCGAAATCGATATGAAGATCACCAGAAACGGATGCACGGTTTGCTAATGGCAAGCAAAACAAATATGACACCGATATGCGATTAACAGCACGAGGCCATCTAAATGCATCAAGAACAACAAACTACTGCCCTCTAACATAGCAACAAATCACATGGCAGGGATCCACTCAAGATGCTTGACGAAAGATGAACACTGAGCTACGGCTAATTCACTCAATAATAGGTTCAAACAAGCATGGCAAAAGTGCAAAAGATATCAGGTTACAGACTTAGTGAAATTAACAACAAGCCAGGAATTTAACATCAGGAAGCAATGTTTAGAGTAAGATAACAACATGCTACAGGAACATATCATAGCTAATCAAGGCATGGCATGATGCTACTCAAAGCATACAACAAAAGTCCCTTCCTGACCATAAGCCAAAAGGGATCAAAAAATACAATGGCAACCATGTGAACATAGCAAGTTTCGTTAACAGATTCAGACTTAGAAGAAAACTGGAACATGGCAAAACAGATATTAAGTAGGCATGTTTACGAGCTCAATGCACTCACCACAAGGCATTGCATGACAAACTAAGCATACACCCAGCAAGTAAACATGGCATAGAAGCTAAACATGGCAAGAACATCCTCATAACATGCATGGATCAACTACAACAACCTTGGCAAAAATGCTTAACACGTAAACATTCTGCCAGGAACATTTTATAGCAAAAGTAGAGCTCGATTGAGTCAAGCTAGGATGCTCCATAAATGCAAACAAAAACATGGATGGATAGAGCACAACAATATCTACAAAACGTCCTTTCTGATCATGCTCAAAAGAGGCATGGATCACTCTGTAGCAACAAGAATACATGGCATAAAAATAATATCAGGAAAAAGACTTAGACGATTTCTAAGTCCCTGAAATCAGCAACATTACGAGAGCTACTTTGCATGCTTGTGCTAGTCACCACAGAGATCACAAAAATACATGGCGTACACCCCTGTAAAGATGGCATGGCATACTTCTAAACTCATGTAGGGCTCAAGTTCATAGGAGGCACACATTAATCATGGCAAAAATGACAAATGTCCAAATGCTGATAAGAAACTGAAACTAACATTGCATAGCACTCTTGCAACATCATTTAGGGCATCAAGATGAACTCAAATGAACATGGTGCAATGGAATAAAATGAAGTACTCGTCGAGACGAACAATTCGATATGCTACACGCCCAAAACGGAGCCACCGATGCAAAGATATGATGCGATGAAAATGCCCAAAAAATACTGGGGACTTGGGAAAAAGTCAACCTCTCTCCCAGATCTAGGGTTCGTGCACGCTCTTCGAGAATCGCCGGAAAAGAAGCAGCGGTGGCCGGAGCATCGCGTGGGTTCGCCGGACAGGAGGAGGCTGGCCGGAACGGGCGGGGCCGGCCGGATCTGGGGCCGGGAAGGCGTGGTGGCGAGGAAGGGGGCCCGGGCGCGGCGAAGGGC